TTACTTGCATGTAGGTAGGTGCACCCATGTCATGCAATGCCAGCACACAGAGGTCAGAAGAGGGTGTCAGATTCCCCAGAACTGGAGTTACAGATAGTTGTTAGCTGCCACGTGGGTGCTGGGAATTGAACCCAGGTCCTCTGTAGGAGCAGTCAGTACTCTTTTTTTTTTTTTAACTTTTACAAAAACTTTATTGAGAATTTCATACATGCATATAAGGTGTTTTGATCAAATCCATGCCCACTCCTTCCCTTCCAACATTCCCCCCTCTGAAGAGATAACCCTAAAATCTTTTAAGGATTAGATACAAGCTCCCAAAGCAGTCAGTACTCTTAACTGCTGAGCCATCTCTCTAGCCCCCAAAATAGGAATAAACTTTTGAGAAACTATAAAACCTAAGTGAGGAAAACTTTAAAATATTCCAATAAGAGAGAAAACAGAACCGGGACAGGTAGAAAGGAATCTCATTCTTTGATAGGACAATTCAACATCATAAAGTTCATATAAACTTTAATATATTTGAACAGAAGTATTAGTAGTCCCCCCTCCCAAAACTAGGAAAGTTGATTTTGTTTCATTTATTATTATTATTATTATTATTATTATTATTATTATTTTGGTTTTTTGAGGCACAGGCTAGCCTCAATCTTACAGAGATCACCTTGCCTTTGCCTCCTAAGAGCTGTGATTAAAGGTGTACACCACCATGCCCAACAAGGTAAACTGATTTTAAAGATCAGATAAGAATAAATAAATAACTAAAAGCAAGAATAGCTAGGATACAATTCACAGAAAAGCAGTGAGAACAGTCAGTTCTTCCCATATTAACAACACGTAGACTGTGAGGCTAAATAGAGCAGCAGGAGTGGACATGATGACAAAAGGGGCAGAAAGACCATGGGGAAGTAGACTCACAAGTGCACCCACATCTAATGTATGACTGAGGTGGCATTTCATCACTAGAGGGAGAAAAGACCTTTATATAAACGGTGTCTCTGACAATCCTATTATCACTTGTGAAAATATCAAATTCGATCTCAACCTCACACCACATACTAGCAAAAATTTTCCCATGGATTCAAATGCAATGCAGTGTGAATGAACACAAATTCTAAAAAACTGGTGAATTCCTTTATGACCCCCAAAAGGGAAAAGTCATTCTATGTATGACCAAAAACCAACACTAATGTATTTCAACAGCATGCTGTGTTCACAAGGCTGTGGAAGAAACAGATGCTCCCATATACCACTGATTTCCATGCAGAACAGCACAACCACAGAGGGCTGTAACACCCCAGGAATGGGGTGTGATAATCTTCCCCAGGGATGCATTTCAATGAATTCAAAACAGCATTTTCACAAGTCATTCACTGGCACCATTAGTAATGACAAAATATTGGAAGCAATCTAAACATCCATCCACAAGAGTATACTGATTAACAGTGGAACACCTCCACAGTGGGACAAAATTGCTAAAAATAAAAAAATACAAATAAAAATGAGGATTTTGTGTACTATTATGTAGACGAATTAAAGACATTATTGTTAAATGAAAAGCAGTAAAGAATTAGGAGCTGGAAAGATGGCTCAGCAGTTAGGAGTACTTCTGCTCTTGCAGCGAGTACCTGGGTTTGGTTCCTAAAACCCATGTGGTGCCTCACAATTGTCTATAAATCCAGTTCCAGGGGAACCAACACCCTCTTCTGGCCTCCGTGGGCACAAGGCACCCACATGGTACACATACATACATGAAGACAAAACAATCATACATGAAAAATAAATAAATCTTCAAAAATTATTTATTATGTGTATGAGTGTATTGCCTGCACGTGTGTAAGTGCACCCATGTCATGCAATGCCTGCAGAGGTCAGAAGAAGGTGTCGGATTCTCTGGAATTGGAGTTACAAAAGGTTATTAGCTTCTATGTGGGTTTTGGGAATTGAACCTGGGCCCTCTGCAAGAGTAGCCAGTGCTCTTAACTGTGGAGCCATCTCTCCAGCCCAAATAAATCTTTTTTGAAAAGAAGATAAAAGTCAGTGAAATTAAAATCTGGAGACCAGTAGAACCAAGAAAAATCAAGTCAGTTCTTAAAAGGACCAAATGGGACTGGAGAGATGGCTCAGTAGTTAAGAACACTGGTTGTTCTTGCAGAAGACCCGGGTTCAAATCCCAGCACCCACATGGCAGCTAACAACTGCTCGTAACTTCAGTCCCAGAGGATTTGACGGCCTCTTCTGACCTCTGTGGGCATTGCACAACACGGGTGCACTTACCTACACTCAGTCAATACACCTGTACACATAAAATAAAATAATAAATACAATATTAAAAATATATTAAATAGAAATGAAAGAGTAGATGATATATTTGTCTTGTTCTATCTT